TTGATTGAGGACGGCTGTCACGCTGTCTTCGTACTTCGTGAAATTTGAACAGTCCCGCCTTTTTTCCCTTTACCTAAAACTAGTCTCATCATTTCAACACACTTTACAAATTCTCTCTCTCAGCCTCCACTGCTTGTTCATTTTCTGAGCTCGTGTTTTGCTGCCTTTTGCTTCCATCTTCAGTTTCCTGCTTCTTCTTCTGGTTAGTATTGCATCTTACTTGCTTTGTTTGTTTTCGTATTTGTTCTATGCGTTTTGTTTTATGTGTTTGGTTACGATTTGAGTGTAGAGTTGTTTTTAAATTTAAAATATTAACATTTTAAATTATTTAAATTTTTACGATTTAAATTTTTTGAATATTTATTTTAATTTTTTACTTATTAAATTTTTTAGATTATTTAAATATTTATGATTTAAATTTTTTGAATATTTATTTTAATTTTTTACTTATTAAAATTTTTAGATTATTTAAATTTTTACGATTTAAATTTTTTGAATATTTATTTTAATTTTTTACTTATTAAATTTTTTAGATTATTTAAATATTTATGATTTAAATTTTTTGAATATTTATTTTGAAAAAAAATTATTTCTTTTGTAGTATTTTCAATTAAAAAATTGATTAATATTATTTTCTGTTAATAATAAATTTTTTTAATTGAATTTTAAAAAGAGTTTGGTTATGAATATTGATCAGAATTTTCAATAGTGTGAAAGTAGTGTGTTTTATTATGAGTTATAACAATTTGAATCAAGTTTTGAAAATTTTCAAAAGACAATGCTACGTAGCTCAAATTTTGTGGCTCAAAAGTGGCTCAAATGGCCAAACCGACGTCGTTTTGAGTATAGAACAACATAAAAATGACCAAAACGACGTCGTTTTGGCCATTTGAGCCACTTTTGAGCCACAAAATTTGAGTTACGAGACATTTTCCATTTTCAAAACTCATAACCAAACAAATTTTCTTACTTCACATGTCAAATCAAACTTTTAAAACTTAATTCCACACTCAATTCAAAACTCAATTCAACACTCTATTCAAAAACCATAACCAATCAATTTTTCTACACTCAAATCATAATTCCACAACTTACAAACTCAAAATACAACTCATACTCTCAAATCATATTTATAAAACTCTACCAAACGCAACTTTATAACTCATAACCAAACACACAACTCAAAACTCCATTCATAACCAAACTCTTTTAAAATTCAATTTAAAAAAAATGATGTCATTTTTGTCTAAAAAAATAATTTCTATATTTAAAAAATATACAAAACAAATATAATTTTTTTTTTCAAATAATAGGTGGCGATTGACAATTGCAAAAAAAAAAAGAAAAGGTATTGTTCCGGCGAACCAGCCGGACATCTGGGAGGATGTTGGGGGGACGACTGGGTAGATCCAAAAATTCAAAAACTGTGCGGGAGGACGTCCGAACGGACGACCGGGTAAATAAAAAATTCAAAAATTATCTAATTTACCAAACATGTTTTCAAAATGTGTTTTGAAATTAATTTGGAATCGTGATTTGAAAACTTAAACTAAACATAGCATTAGAATACAAGGGTGAAATTAATTTTAGAATGTCAAACCAAACACAATTTTTTTTTAAACTCAAAACTATTTTCAAAAATTATAACAAATAAGTTTTTTTGAGCACAATTTAGAGCATTTCATCGAACACCTTGTGGGCATCTCTTAAAACCACACAACTACATGGGACAGTGATGGTGCTGATGTAGAATAACAAGAAGAGTTGTCAAGGTATAACCGTGGTGGCCATTTCATCGTTGGGGCATTTTGTCGAACACCTTGCCGGTCTTGAAAAGCATCGCTACCCTTACTGATGAAGACCATCACCACACTCATAGGCACAACCAACCACCTCCATCGAGCACCAAAACAAGAGTGTTTGTTTCCGATTCGCATCCACGATTTCTACAAATTGTTTAGAATTCTCTTGAAAGTAGCACTTCTCAATCCATCCACATTCTTTCATGGATTAGAATACCTCCTAAAAAATTGTCGAATTCCCACCAATTGCTTCAAAATTCCAACAAATTGAGGCTTTTGTTGCTTAATATAGTGAGTTTCGTGGTGTTGAAGACTTGGTTACCAAGTGTGAAATTAGGGTTTCTGGAGGTTTTTCTGAAGCGGGGAATTATTGTGTTGGCTGCTACTGTTTTCAAAGAGCAAGGCTTGGTTTTGGCTGCGCTTCTGGGTCTCTCTGCATTTTTTCTCCGTTGCTGAAACTTCAATTACCACACTTTGGCTTTGGAAGGTACATATTTTATACTCCAATTGGGATTTATTTATTTGTAAAATTTTGCTGGTGCGAGTGTTGTCATGAATACGAACATATTAGATTTCTATTTTGTGCTGGGAATAAACTCTTTAAGAATTCAAGTTGTTTAGTTTATGCCTGGTTGTTTGATAAGTAAAAATATTATTGGCTTGGCAAAATTCTTGTTTGATTTCCGTGTGTTTATCAGTAAAAATATTAGTTACTCCATGAAGGAGATCGAAGGCTTTGTGTAGTTTTATTGGCTGGCCACAAGCTCACACATCCAATGAAGATATTAATCTCCACATATAAATGTGGTTTTGGTTTCCTGCAACCCCAAACCGTGGTGGCAATAATTAGCGAGCTTGGGTAGCATGTCCTGTGGATTTGGGAACAGTGAAGAAGTAAACATCACACAACACCGAAGGATTTACATGCCTAAGGTTACATAGTTACATAGTTATATTCTTTGATTTGGCTTTGAAAAGGTTGAAAGAAAGGTTCTAGACTTTGTAGTGTGTGAAAGAGCTAGAATAGACTTGGATTTAAAGGGGTGATAGGCTGTAAAATTTTATGACTCTGCCAAGAATTTTTTTAAACAAAATTTTGGGATCCCAGTTTGTGTTTTGGTGGACGATGACCGGAATGACACGCATTAATGCCTTCTGTCACTTGTGGGGGTCGCATTATGGTTAGCAGTTGGATTTGTCACCTTTTTCATGTAGCTTTGTTCTAGAAATCTTATTTACATACTTCGACAAAAAATTAATTTTTTTAAAGTTGAAGAGGTGGAAATGAGCGTAGATTGGGTTGTCTCTGCTAAGATTTTAAAATACTAATTAATTACTTAGTTAATAGTGATACTTTAGTGCTATCAATATTTAAATTTTGGTCTAGCTTGTATGAAGGGTGGATGATATAATAATTCAGCTTAAATTTGTTGGTAATTTGAGCACAACCCAAATTAGATGGCAAGCACTTGGTTCTTTGGAAGGGTGGAGAGGCTAACTCTTATCGACATGGTTATCAGAATCCCGATCCGGATCTTACGATCCTACGATCTTACGATCCATTTGAGTACAATCGATCCGGATCGTATAAAAAACTCCTTATAGGTAGGATCTTTCGATCCTAGTAGTGGGATCTTATAGGATCGTGGAATCCCGATCCGAATCCGATCCTATCTGATTTAATTTACAAGCCTTGTTTTATATTGTATGACATATTTTGTTGTAAATTTTATGTTTGTTGTCTAAATACTAATTTATGCCATCAAAATAAATAATAAAAATTAAGTAGTATTGAATCAAATAGACTAAGAAAAACAAACTAAGAAACAAACATTCAAATATTGCGGTAATTTAAGAAAATTAAATAGTCGGAAAAACAAACTTAGCTTTAGCGGAGTCTAAGAAGGGTAAGATGATTGCAACTTTATTCCAATTTCTGGAGAAATTATTTTTGTGACTCGAATCCGCTCCACTAGGGATGCAAACGACAAATCTTATCATTCGACTAAGCTACTCTTTTGAGTTCTTAATCTATTTTCATATCCAATTTTGTTAAATATTTTTTCTTCACTTTTTATGCATTATTGTACATTGTAAAGTATTTTGTTATAGAATTCTTCTTCTTCTTCACCTTCTTTTTTGCTAAAATATAGAACTTTTACCATCGAGTTTTCTATTGCATAATATTATATGTACATTTTACATGGAATATTATATTTTTCACAATATGTTCACTTCTTTTTAATAGAATATAGGTTCATTTTGTGTATACTTTATAAGAAATATTTATTTAAATTAAATTATTTTGTAATTTGCCTTTTTCGGTAGGATCTTACGATCGTCGATCCGATTCTACAATCCGATCCTATAAATACCTCCAACGATCCAACGTAGGATCCCAATTTTAACAACCTTGCTTATAGATGCTAATTTAACAATTAACAACTGACTTTCCCTGATCAAAAAACATTAAAAAAAATATAAAAAACTTGAGCATAGCCCAAGTTCAATTTATTGAGCTCGAGCCAGCCTTGATTACACAAAATTAGGTTAGAGGTTGGGCTTGGGGGGCTCATGCAATTCGCAAAACAAATTGGATAACTTTTCACTCCTAGTGTATCCGCTCGAGTTGCACCCCTAGTTACAAATTAAAAGCTGCCTTTATTTAAACTAATATCCCGAAAAAACTTGGCCATACAAATCAATCAATTTTTATTCCAAATGTAATAAGATTTCATTTCCCATTGTTAAAATTTTTTCATGTGGCTTTGTTCTAGAAATCTTCATTAAAGACTTTATGACCAAAAATAAATAAATATTTTTAATTTGAAGAGGTGGAAATGAGCATGGATTGTGTCACTAATTAATTACTTGGTGATACTTTAGTGCTATCAATATTTAAATGTTGGTCTACCTTGTTTGAAGGGTGGATGATAAAATAATTGACGTCTTTGAGGAGTGGATGATAAAAAAATTCAGCTCAAATTTGTTGGTAATTTGAGCATAACCCAAGTTCAATTTATTAATTATGTAGTTGCCATTCTACCAGGTGGTTATGTGCAAGGAATTATTCTGTTTTATGGGAAGTTCACGTTAGCCGTGTGCCTAACGAATAGCAAGTGCTAAATAAATACATGGCTTAAAAAATAAGGAAATAGTGGAGAAAATTATATAATATTATTTGATAGGCACATGGACACATGGTGTTCCGAACTTACTAGATAATTTTTGGTTGTGTGCCCATGTTATAACAATAGTCTCAAATGTAGGAGAAAATGTACGAAAATTAGTTATATGGCCCCATACACTTGGAAGGGAAAACCACATAGAATATAGGCCAGTCCTAATGAATAATTTCTTCTTATTTCAAATCACATTCCTTAGAAATCTCTCATCCACCCAAATTGGTTTCTGTCCCATCCTATCTATAACAATTATCAAGGGGAACTAGAGCAATGCAATCCGTTCAAAAATAAAATAAAATAAAATAAAAATTAAAAATTAAAAAAATTATCAATAAATCTTATTTTAAAAGTATTAATGAGTCCTATTAAATTTCAATGTGGACAATTAAATCTTTTTTTAAAAAAAATTTATTCTTAAAAAGTTCACTTTTCCTTAATAATATCTTTTATTTCAATTTTAATTTACTTACAAAAATATATTTTTTAAGTGCAAAAATTGAACGAACTACATCAAACAATATCATACTCAACAATTTGATCAAAAGAACCATGTAGGATTCATCATTTTTTTGAAGTTGAAATTGTGGAAATGAGCATAGGTTTGGTTGTCTCCACTATGTTTTTCAAATACTAAATAATTACTTGGTGATACTTTACTGCTATCAATATTTAAATGTTGGTCTAGCTTGTTTGATGGGTGGATGATAAAATAATTGTCGTCCTTGAAGGGTGGATGATAAAAACAATTCAGCTCAAATTTGTTCGTAATTTGAGCACAACCCAAGTTCAATTTATTGAGATTGAGCCAGCCTTGGGGAGACAAAATTAACTTAGAGGTAGGGCTTAGGGGCCTTAGGCAACCCCCAAAACAACTTGGATAACTCAGCATCTTACTGCATCCGCTGAAGTTGCACCCCTAGCTACAAATTACAAGCTCTCTTAATTTAAACCAAAATCGTAATTTAATTGCTAAACTCAATCAATTTTCGTTGCACATCTAACAAGACTTCATTTCCCAATGTTAAATTCTTTTGTTTCCTAATGTTGTATGTGGATCATGGATTTTGGTAAAGATTTGAAAAAGAAGAAAAAAGTGATTGAAAAAAATTAAGTTAAATTTTTTCTTCATTTCTTTTTCCATTTCTAAATCATTATCTAAATTTATGATTCAAACACAACGTTAATAACTGTGTTTGAAAAGTAGACTCTTCACATCAACAACCTAATCTGGAACTCAGATGAATTGAAATTTTGATCATAAAAATGAGTGTACATGAGATCATATCTCAATAGTTAACCAAAATTAAAATGGAAAATAATTGTAACAAAATGGTGGAAAAGGTTTTGTATGAAGTTAATATTAAGAGGCAGAGGCTTGTATTGAATTTGTAAGTTCAACATGTGTCAACTTCAAACTCCTTATTTCCAGCTACATTTCTTTAGAAATATCCCCCACCCACCAAGGTTAGGTTGGCTCGTCTCCCTTCTCTCTAACAATTTCATCAGTCTCAAACAAATTATTTTTCAACATTTGATTGCGATTTTAAAATTAATGTGCATAAGATATGTTGCAACATGGAATTCAAGGCTTATGGAAGACCAGCTTGTTTAAAGGGTCTGGATAATTTATTAAATATTTCTTGTCCTTGACGGGCTTCACCATAGAAAATACTTACTGTTACTTTGCAGTGTGTATCAAATTGGATAATAATACATTTAATCCTCTTATATATCCAGCTCAGTCATCATCATCTATCCAATACTTACTCTTTCCTTTTGATATCTCTCTGATTCCGACCCATATAAGGAGAAAATGAGTTGGCTAATATGGCTTCATCAACTTCTTCTGGTATTTATCTTGTTTTCTCAACTAGTAGTTATTACTACATATTCATCATCATCACGGTCTTCTCCTACTTCTACATGCCATACGTGCCTTGAGGACCAGAGATTTGCACTACTCCAATTTAAGAAAACATTTACCATAGATTTTTCCTTCCCACAGTGTGAATCTGATTCTCACCCTAAAATGATGTTGTGGAATAAGAGTACTGATTGCTGCTCGTGGGAGGGGGTCACCTGTGACTGGTTGAATGGTCATGTAATTGGGCTTGACCTCAGTTGCAACACACTTCATGGTACCATTGAAGCCAACAGCTCCCTCTTCCACCTTCGTCAGCTTCAGAGGCTCAATCTTGCCTTGAATGACTTCAATTTTTCTAGAATTTCATCTAGTTTGGCTCGTTTGCAAGTTTGGCCCATCTCAACCTCTCCAACTCTTTATTTGCAGGCAGAGTTCCTTCAGAAATCTGTCATCTATCCAAATTGAGTTCCATTGATCTGTCTCTTTTCCATTATGAGGTGAGTCTTGAACAACACACTTTCAATATGCTCCTTCGGAACCTAAACCAATTAAGAGAACTACACCTTGTTGAGTTGGATATTCCTTCACCTTTAGCTCATGCTTTGCTAAATCTATCTTCTTTGACATCTCTCAGTCTTGCTTCTTGTCAACTACGTGGGAAATTCCCAGAAAACATTTTCCAACTCCCAAACCTATGAAAGCTCAATGTACAGGATAATTTGGGTGTCACATGATAAACTTCCAAACTTCAATATGACTAGTTCTCTTCAGTTTCTTGATCTCTCCCTGACAAGTTTTTTTGGACAACTGCCTGATTCAATCAGCAATCTTAAAGCCTTGAATAGTTTGTACCTCTTTGGGTGAAACTTTTCAGGGTCCATTTCCAACTTCTGTTGGGAACCTTACACAAATCACCAATTTGGACTTCTGGGCTAACAGCTTCAGCAGTCAAATCCCTTTATCAATTTCAAACCTTGCAAAGCTTACTTACTTGGATCTTTCCAAAAACAATTTGAATGAGCAAATAACGGATTCCCTTGGCAACATAAGCCAACTTGCTTTCTTGACCCTTTCTGAAAATCAGCTAACAGGTCCCATTCCTTTGTATGCTGTTGGGATTTCAAAGCTAACTTACATCGGATTGCAAAATAGCTCACTCAATGGGACAATACCATCTTGGCTGTTTGCTCAACCTTCATTGATTTCTATAGATTTGAGTAACAATATGCTGTAGGTACCAATTCCAAGATCAGTTTGTGAACTCCAGAACCTAACATACTTGAGGCTTTCATCAAATAATTTCAGTGGTGTAATCGAGCTAGATAAGTTGCTTAAGCTAAAATATTTGTACTATCTTGATCTCTCATGTAATGGTCTCTCATTGAACATCAACAATAGTGTCAACTCTACCTTATCAATTTCAAACCTTGCAAAGCTTACTTACTTGGATCTTTCCAAAAACAATTTGAATGAGCAAATAACGGATTCCCTTGGCAACATAAGCCAACTAGCTTTCTTGACCCTTTCTGAAAATCAGCTCGCAGGTCCCATTCCTTCGTATGCTATTGGGATTTCAAAGCTAACTTACATCGGATTGCAAAATAGCTCACTCAATGGGACAATACCATCTTGGCTGTTTGCTCAACCTTCATTGATTTCTATAGATTTGAATAACAATATGCTGCAGGGACCAATTCCAGGATCAGTACATGAACTCAAGAACCTAACATACTTGAGGCTTTCATCAAATAACTTCAGTGGTGTAATCGAGCTAGATAAGTTGCTTAAGCTAAAATATCTGTACTATCTTCATCTCTCATATAATGGCCTCTCATTGAACATCAACAACAATGTCAACTCTACCTTGCATTACTTTGAGACTATAGGATTAGCTTCTTACAACTTAAGTGAATTCCCAAACTTCTTGAGAGTACTGCTTGATTTGATTGCATTAGACCTTTCAAACAATAAAATTCATGGTGAAGTTCCAAAATGGATATTCGACGTGGGAAAAAATACATTGGATAGTTTAGATCTTTCTCATAATTTCCTTACAAGTTTAGAGTGTCTTCCATGGAAGAATCTAGAATATATTAACCTGCATTCCAACTTACTCCGAGGACCACTCCCTGTTCCACCTATCTCCACAATTGTTTTCTCTATCTCAAACAATAAATTGACGGGAGAAATCCCAACTTTGATTTGCAGTCTGATGTCACTTGAAGTTCTTGATCTATCAAATAACAGTGTGGTGTGATTCCACAATGTTTGGGAAACATAAGCATTAATCTCTCGGTGTTGAGTCTACGGATGAATAGCTTTGGTGGCATCTTTACTGCGGCATTTGCAAAAGGCAACATGCTGAGAGTCTTAACTTGAATGACAACCAAATTGAAGGACATGTTCCGCGATCTCTGCTCAATTGTAGACACTTGGAAGTTCTAGATCTTGGAACAAATAAGATAAATGATACATTCCCCCACTGGTTGGAAACTCTTCCAGAATTGTAGGTTCTTGTCTTGAGGTTTAATAGGTTTCATGGTCACATGGAAACCTCCAAGACCAAGAGCAAGCATCCTTTTTCGAAGTAGGGAATTATTGACATATCGTGCAATGAGTTCACTGGCTTTTTGCCAACAAATTATATCAAACAATTTGGAGCTATGATGAATGTTGATGAACGTTGATGAACATGAAATGAAATTGAAATACATGGGTCAAACATATTACCAAGATTCTGTGGTGGTGATGATTAAAGGATATGAGATTGAATTATCAAGAATCTTAACAATCTTTTCAATCATTGATTTTTCAAGAAATAAATTCCGAGGAGAGATTCCGAAATCCATTGGGAGGCTTAATTCGCTTCATGGTTAACTTATCTAATAACAACCTTAAAGGCCACATCCCAACTTTACTTGAAAATTTGAAAAAGCTTGAATCGTTGGATCCTTCCTCAAACAAGTTTGTATTCCTTTGCAATTGACTACTTCAATATTTCTTGAGGTACTAAACCTTTTAGATAACCAACTAGCAGGACCAATTCCTCAAGGGAACCAGTTTAACACATTTGGAAATGATTCATACAGCAAGAACTTGGCTTTATATGGATTCCCCTTATCAGAGAAATGTAAGGAACCACAGCCACTGCCACCTACACTAACACTCCTACAAGACGAAAATTCAGACTGGTGAAGCGGGATTGGCTAGAATGTTGTAGTGATGGGGTATGGATGCGGATTTGTATTTGGAATGGTTATGGGATATCTTATGTTTGTAACTTGAAGACTATAATGGCTAATGAAAATAGTTGAAGGAAAACAATATAAGAAGGTGAAAAGGTCCAACAAGGGTGCACACTGAAGCAATGAAAGAATAAATTAGAAAAAACAGGTGGCATTATGGGTAAGTGCAATTTATCTCTGAAGCATTACTTTGTTGATTATCTTTTATGGTTTCTATCTATAAGCTATATTTGAGTTACTAATGATTTTTATTTCAAAACTAGATATGTTCCATTTAGTAGCACTATAAAGCAATTGTATCCACTTGAAGGAGTGTCTCACCTAACTGCTGCATTTGAGTGTGTGTGCATCCGGATAGACGCTATACTGGATCACTTCAAAAGCTTTACCCTTGTTGTTGTATTGAGTTCTAAAGCTTTGTTACGTATTTTAGCTTTGTTTAAGGACGAGTTAAATATGAGTTGCATGTCATAACTCTTTATTGTTTCTTTTCTTGCATCATTTAGCAGCCATTAGAGATTTGTACTTTTGTATGTAATTGTTTTTAAATTCCACTTCAGTCACTGAAAACTTGGCCTTGCCAAATTTTTTACTTTGAAATGCAATCTTTCAAGTTACAACTCAAACTTGACACACACAGACACACAGAGTTGGGTTTCCTTTTTTTCTTATTCCCTGTTTTCAATTGTTTTATGGCTAAATGTGGTAGTTTGGTGTACTGAGATTGTCATTCATTGCATCCTCCTGAGAAGCTAATCTGTCTTTTTATATTGCTGCAGTTTCTCTGCCTACTCTCCCAAATACAATGAACTATTGAATGACTGCTATGATAACCCTTAAGGCCTTGCTTGGCTTTGTATAAAATAGCTATTTTTTTGGGCTATTTGAACAAAAAAGAAATAGCTCTTTTGACATTGGCTGATTTAGCTGACAAAAAGGAACAAAGAAAACAATTTTTCACAATTTTTTTTTTTTAACTTCCCCAAGCGTACAAAATCTTTAGATGTGCAGAGTAGGATGCTGATTTTCACATTCAAAAGTCAAAAACAATTGATTAAATGATGTTTCAATATAAGTTTTTTTCTTTTTACTAAGCTTGAAATTTAATTTTTTATCTGGTGAAAAACATAATGGCAAATTTCATTGATTTTTTTTGAGATTTGGTGAAAATACAATAAATTTTATAACTTTGACATAATTATATTGATTTCATTTCATGAGTAAGAGCATCTCTAACCTTTCATTACTTCTTATTATTTTTTATCTAATTTGATTTTAAATTTGAATAAAAAATTGATTTAATATGAACTATTTCAACCCTTTCATCAATTTCTTATCAAAATCTTTTTAAAAATTCTCATTTATTACAAAATTTTATTTTCTTCAAATTTGTTGAAAAAATCATATCCACCAATACCTTATATTTTTAAATTTTCATCAAATTGAATTTAATAAAAAAATATTTCTCCCTAAATTTGATAAACATTTGATACAAAAAATTGGAGATTATTTTTTTAACATTTTTATTGAATTTAAATTTGAATAAAATAAATAAATAGATAGGTCATTTGATATTAGGCTGAATTTAGTAAAAACAAAATCAAAAAATTATTTAAAAAGTTAAAAAATCGAAAAGACTTACAAAAAGTCAAAGATTTTTTCTCATTTTATTTTTTATTTTTTACACATAAGCGAAAGTATTTTCCAAACACTTTTAATTCTTTCAACTCATATTTTAATTTGGGTAAATTACAAATACACACTAAGATTTTCTTAAAAAATGATTTGTGCCTTATAATTTTGAAAATTACATTTCACTTCTTGAAATTTCTAATTTTATAACAAATGGCCATTTTTATTAATAAATTATCAAGTCAATTAATAATTTTTAATGATATTAAAAAATTATTTTAATTAATAATTCAAGTAATTTTATCATTGTATAAGAAAGCGGTTAGAAATTTTAATTTTTAGTTATTTTGTTAACTAAAAAATTTGAAAAAAGTGAATATTTGTAACTTTTTAAATTATATGGGACAATTCATATTTTAAACAAATCTTAATGTAATTATAATTTATCCTTTTAATTTAATCCCAAAAAAGAAAAGAAAAGAATACCTTCTGTAATTTTAAAAATTACATCACACCTCTTAAAGTTTTTAATTACATAACAAATTATAAAGACAAATAACTGTTTTTAATGATGTTATAAATTTATTTTAATTAATAATTTAAGTAATATTATCATTGAATAGAAGAGAAGAGCATTTAAATATTTTATTTTTTTAATTAATTTTATTAAATAAAAAATTTCTGATAAGAGATTATTCATAATTTTTTAAATTATAAAGAATAATTCGTATTTTAAGCAAATAATCAGAATTCTATTTGTAATTTAAAATATATATTTTAAAAAAAACACCAAAATAAGCATCTTTCCACTTTAGCCCCAATCACACACACACTCTCTCACACACTATGGCGTTTTTCCCTGATTGTGGCGTTTTGAATATTTTAGTCCCACTTTAGGGTGTGTTTTTAACTTTATTCCCATTATAGGGTAAAACGGCATTAGAAAAGCCGTTTTCCAGAAAAACCGTATTTTGTGATTAAAATAATAATAAATTTTGGACACAGAAAACGGCTTTAGAAAAGCCGGTTTTACTTAATTTTTAATTAATTCTGAATTAATTAAAAACGGTTTTGGTAAAATCGTTTTTACATTAATTTTTTTTTAATTTATATTTTCAACATAAATATTTTTTGTTCCAAATTTTTTTTTAATAAAAACCGGTTTTAGAAAAGCCGTTTTTGCATTAATTTTTTTTAAATAAATATTTTATGACCAAAAATATTTTTTAATAAAAAACGGTTTTAGAAAAGTCGTTTTAGAAAACGGTTTTGCTAAAACCGGTTTTACATTAATTTTTAATTTTTTTAATTTATATTTTCAACTTAAATATTTTTTACCAAAAAATATTTTTAATAAAAAGTGGTTTTAAAAAATTCGTTTTTACATTAATTTTTTTTAATATATATTTTCAACATAAATATTTTTTGACCACAAATATTTTTAATAAAAAATGGTTTTAGAAATTTTTTTTTTAATTATTTTTTCTCATGTGGGAAGGTTGGACTTGGGAATGAAAAGATGAGTAAGAGAGCAACAATTTCAATGCATTCAAAGATGGGTTTCTTTAGAAAATTACAGCACAAATAACAATAAAAATTAAAACGTTGCTTTGAGTTTTCTAAAATATTTTTTAGAAAATTCTATTTTCTTATTTTTCGTATTTTTTTGTTTTTGTTGAATTTTTTAATATTTTAAGTTTTTAAACATACCTAGCATAAATACACTAAATACCAAAAATACAAACAAAAAAAAAAACAAAAATTCATTACATTTTTCATATTTTTGTGTATTTATTAATTTTTGAAAATATTTTTTTACAAATATTTTACTTTTTAAACACATCTAAGTAAAATGCATCTAAAAAAGTAAAAAAAAAAAATGCTTAAAATTTTAAAAATATTCACTAAAAACAAAAAACTCAGTTTTCAAAAAACTTAATTCAGAAAACTGAAACTTAGGGCTTGTTTGGTTTGTATCTCAAGATATAATTTTTGAGAAATTTTTAAAAAATTTGTTGTAGTTCAAATTTTTTTTAAAAAAAAAATTCCAAAATCACTTTTCAAAAATTTTCAAAATTTCAAAGTATTTACAAAACCCACCCTGGAGTGGGAATAAATATTTTATGTTTTAAATATTTATTTATTTTTTTAATGTGCACTATATTTCGGCGCTTTTCCATATCAAGCCAAATTATCATCTTAATTCCCAAGCTAGGCCTAGTTTGGACAGAATTCCCAAACTAGGCTAAAGCGCTATTACAAAACACGCTTTCACTGTTTGGGGCCGAAAATTTGATGAACATTGAAAGTGCTATTAGAAATCACGCTTTTAATTAAGAAAGCATGGTTGCAAACCATGCCTTTAACATAATTTTTTTTTAAATTCAGAAAGCGCTATTGGTAGTGTAGTTTTTTGTAAGAATAAGAACGTTATTTGTTATATTCAATGAATAATGGTTACATTATTGGGTTCTCACGATTGAGAATATGAACAAGTTAAGAGAATGTGTATTTCTCCTAAAATAAATTTTGTCAATATTTTTGTAATAAAACTTAATACATAATATAAGAAGTCACTAATTTACTAAATACTCATACATACATGAAAACAACATAACTGAAGTTGCAAATGTAACAGTTTTCAGTTACATAGATAGCACAGACATAAGTCTCCCACAAAAATATATTCTGGACACCATGAACTGAACACACAATACATACATCCTCTACACCATGAACTGAACACACAATACATATATCCTAGACACCCTAAACTGAACACACAATACATAAACATAACAGTTAGACAGACTGTAACGCCCTCAAAATAATAGCTTTAAACCCATTGAATAAGACATGCATTGATATTCAAAAGCTCCACATTCTTTCAATTAACAGCGTTTCATTACAAAAAGTATTACATGTTAACAACAAAAGCAAATGCCCTATGGGCTTACAGCTTTCCAAGTTAACACTTGGTTACAACAAAAGAGCACTAACTCAAACACGTTAAGCCCTTGGCTTAAATTTACATGTAATACATCAAGTAAAACAACAAAAAGTCCGCCTCTGGCCTCCCAAGCTACGTCCTTGGAGGTGGCATGCTACCTGTACCTGAAAATGATATTCCCATATAGGGTGAGCCACAGCCCAGTAGAAATACACTAAACCAACCATGAACAATGACTAAAAGATTAGCAACTGATAGACGGTCAACACTGACACTTCCATTTACATCTCCCTACGTCTCCATGACAGCCAAGTCTATGTTACAATTCACTTTTCATTTTTGTTCAACTTTGAGTTTGAAAACAAGGCTCAGTACTCTGGCCAGAACGTTTGATGAGATTATAGTTCATCACTAGAACACTTTCGAAATCCAAGGTGGATACACATTATTTTGTTGTATCAATAACACATAAACTACTCCCATACTTCACAAACAATGATGACTTACATTTGAGTGCTATATCAAATCAAACAAACTTTTCAATAGATAAGCATATGAGCTATATCACTACTACAACAGATAAGCATATGAGCTGTATCAACACTTCAATAGATAAGCATATGAGCTGTATCAACACTTCAATAGATAAGCATATGAGCTGTATCAACACTTCAATAGATAAGCATATGAGCTGTATCAACACTTCAATAGATAAGCATATGAGCTGTATCAACACTTCAATAGATAAGCATATGAGCTGTATCAACACTTCAATAGATAAGCATATGAGCTGTATCAACACTTCAATAGATAAGCATATGAGCTGTATCAACACTTCAATAGATAAGCATATGAGCTGTATCAACACTTCAATAGATAAGCATATGAGCTGTATCAACACTTCAATAGATAAGCATATGAGCTGTATCAACACTTCAATAGATAAGCATATGAGCTGTATCAACACTTCAATAGATAAGCATATGAGCTGTATCAACACTTCAATAGATAAGCATATGAGCTGTATCAACACTTCAATAGATA